GTGGTAGTGTATCATACCATTCTCAGTAGAGACCTGAGGTTGTTAGTACGACGTGATCAAGCTGGCGCTGCCACACTTACGTAGAAGTAGTTGGGGTCGTGAGGATTCCACCGCACAGTCTCGACATCACTCTCAACACCCCATCGTGGCGCCTTTGCATCGGGTGCGCGCACATCGGCTGCTACCACAGTTCTGTCGTAACTACCACTGAGAAGAGCAGTGGCCTCGACGGGATGCCAGGCTACGGAGCAGACCTTGTCTGTGTGGTACGTGTATGACTTGGCACACTTTGTCGTGTTCAAGTCCCACAGCTTGATGGTCTTGTCTGCCGATGACGAAGCGAGGAAGTTTCGGTGTTGTCGGTTGGCTGCGAGTGAGAGGACTGAATCGACGTGGAACTCGTCGTTGGCCTTCTTCGACTTCTTCTTCTTCTTTTTGGGCTTGTCTGCCTTTGCGTCCTCGGCGCCTTGTCCAAGAACTGCATCTGGGTACATGCTGTCTACCACATCCAGGTTCCAGATCTCGATATCAGGATCCATAGTTCCAACCGCGACGTAGTTTCCCCTACCCTCACTTGTGCCTACTGACTTGCCTACGGGCAGATCTAACCACTCGACGGCAAGTGGAATTGCGGGCAGCATGATGTCGTGGTGCACGTAGATATTGTCGTCCTCGTCTTCGTATACGTAGACTTCCAGATGCGCGACTTCGTCTTCTATGCGACCAGCCAGAACCAAGTTGTCTGTAGCGAGAATTTGAAGCTCCTCACGCTCCTCGTCATCTGATTCCTCTCCAGCCTTCATAGTGATGTATGGATCGTCCTCGTCGTTCTCGTGGAAAACCAGGTTCTTCGCGTTGCCGAACATGGCCATGGTATCGCCGCGGTCTTCAGCAACGTCGTCGTCATAGTGCTCGAGGTCGTATTCCTTGAGGTCGTCATCGTCGTCCCTTTCCAGTCGTTAGTCTTTGAGGTAGTCTGCTTGTTGAGTGCACGCACTCATCGTCCTTCTTGGAAGCCTTGGTCGAAGTTCCGTTTTTGCTCCTTTCTTCGGCTTGTGCTTCCTCGAGATCTTCCTTGGCATCCTCGAGTTGGAGGTTTGCCAGCTTGGATATGCGCTCGTACTCGTCCTCGTCGAACTGGTACCGTGAAGGAAAGGGCGCCGCATAGCCGCGCGGCACCCACGTCGTCGCTGTGATCATAGACATTGCGCTGGTAGTGTAAAGTAAAATGCGCAGTGAGAGCGCAAGTCGCGTGGGGAACTTTTTCAAAAGGTTGGAAATAATTTTGGGCGCCCCGCAACGATTGGCTGAAGCTCGTCCTTATCGATAGCGACAATTGCGGACTCCCGAGAGAGAGCATCAACTTTCTCGGCCTCTCAACCCTCGAGCTACGACACCCGCCATCGCCCTCCCTCCATACGCTCACTCGCCCTGCCTTGTCTAAAGCGTCCCCGGTACCTCGGTCACCATGGAACGCGGTCACAGCCCAAAACGGCGCAAGCTCGACCCTGAAGAATACTCCATCGCGCCCCGTCCCAAGTTTCGCAAGCCCAACCAGCCTGCCTCTGCCCGGCATACAAATTCACGCGACAATGGCGCAAACCCATCGCAGCGGCCTCTAGAAGGGTCAGAGCCTCTGGTGGAGGAATTCGACTCCATGGCGCTGGATCGCGACTGGTACGGCGGTGAGGAGAACGGACACACCTTCGGAGACGATACCCACAACCCCTTTGGTGGTGCCGAGAGCACATGGCTGGATGCGCAACGGGAGGCTGCTATGACCGAGAAGAAGCAGAACAACCGAGCAAGTATGCGCGCGCAGCAGAAGCAGAAGGATGTCGATGCTTGGGAAACCAACCGCATGTTGCAGTCTGGAGTGGCCCAGAGGAGACATCTTGACGACGACTTCGACGACGAGGAGGACGCGATGCGGGTGCATATTCTTGTGCACGATTTGAAGCCCCCGTTTCTGGACGGAAAGACTGTCTTCACCAAGCAAATCGACCCCGTTCCGGCCGTACGCGATCCGCAGAGCGATATGGCCGTCTTCAGTCGGCGAGGTAGTCGCGTTGTCAAGGAGAAACGTCAACAGAAAGAGCGAGCGAAACAGACGCAGGAGGCTACCAGTGCGAAGGGAACCACGCTGGGAAACATCATGGGGGTCAAAGAAGAAGACACGGATAGTGCTGCCCCAGGCCCAGAAGACGAGGAGAAGCAGGGCGGCAGCAAGTTTGCGCAGCATCTCAGCAAACAAGAGGGTGCGAGTGCTTTCAGTAAGAGCAAGACGCTTAGAGAGCAGAGACAGTACCTTCCCGCCTTTGCAGTCCGGGAAGATCTCCTACGCGTTATTCGAGACAACCAAGTCGTTATCGTGGTCGGTCAGACGGGTTCTGGAAAGACGACCCAACTGACCCAGTTCCTTTTTGAGGACGGGTACGCAAAACAAGGGCTGATCGGATGTACGCAGCCTCGCCGTGTCGCAGCCATGAGTGTTGCGAAACGTGTGAGTGAAGAGATGGAGGTGAAACTTGGTGGACAGGTCGGATATGCCATTCGATTCGAAGACTGCACCAGCAAAGAGACCAAGATCAAGTACATGACGGATGGTGTGTTACTCCGAGAGTCATTGGTGGAACCGGACCTGGACAAATACTCCTGCATCATCATGGACGAGGCCCACGAGAGAGCTTTGAACACCGACGTACTGATGGGACTTCTCAAAAAAGTGCTGGCACGCAGAAGAGACCTCAAGCTAATCGTCACATCAGCTACCATGAACTCGGAACGATTCTCGCGCTTCTACGGAGGAGCTCCCGAGTTCATAATTCCAGGGCGAACATTTCCAGTTGACATCCAATACTCGCGGTCCCCATGCGAGGACTATGTCGACAGCGCAGTCAAGCAGGTGCTCGCCATACATGTCTCCCAGGGGCCTGGCGATATTCTGGTCTTCATGACGGGTCAGGAAGACATTGAAATCACATGCGAACTGGTCGCCGAAAGGCTGAAACTTCTCAACGACCCGCCGAAACTCAGCATTCTTCCAATCTACAGTCAGATGCCTGCTGATCTGCAAGCAAAGATCTTCGACAGAGCAGCCCCTGGCGTACGCAAGGTCATCGTGGCCACCAACATTGCAGAAACGAGTTTGACGGTGGACGGCATCATGTATGTGGTGGATGCTGGATTTTCTAAGCTCAAGGTTTACAACCCGAAGATGGGCATGGACACGCTCCAGATCACACCCATCTCACAGGCCAATGCCTCTCAACGTGCTGGTCGCGCTGGACGTACTGGACCTGGAAAGTGTTTCCATTTGTACACGGAGAGAGCTTTTAGGGATGAATTCTACATCCAGACCATCCCAGAGATTCAACGAACAAACCTCGCCAATACGGTTCTTCTCCTCAAGTCTCTCGGCGTACGAGACTTGCTAGACTTCGACTTCATGGACCCGCCACCCCAAGACACAATAACAACTTCTCTCTTCGATCTCTGGGCCCTCGGCGCCCTCGACAACATCGGCAACCTCACCGAACTCGGCCGCACCATGACCGCTTTCCCCATGGACCCCTCCCTCGCAAAGCTCATCATCACAGCCACGGAAATGGAGTGCAGCGAAGAAATGCTCACAATCGTTGCTATGCTCTCTGTGCCTTCCGTATTCTACCGCCCCAAAGAACGCCAAGAAGAATCCGACGCCGCGCGTGAGAAGTTCTTCGTCCCAGAGTCTGACCACCTCACCCTCCTACACGTATACACGCAATGGAAAGTCAACGGCTATTCCGACGGCTGGTGTATCCGCCACTTCCTGCACCCCAAAGCGCTGCGCCGCGCCAAGGAAATCCGCGACCAGATCTACGACATTATGTCCAAGCAGAAGATGAAGCTCGTTTCGTGTGGTACCGATTGGGACGTAATACGTAAGTGCATCTGCTCAGGCTACTACCACCAAGCCGCCAAGGTGAAAGGTATAGGCGAGTACATCAACCTGCGTACTAGCGTCACCATCCAACTCCACCCCACATCTGCTCTGTACGGTCTGGGCTACTTGCCCGATTACGTCGTATACCACGAACTCATCCTCACAAGTAAAGAATACATGTCGTGTGTCACATCTGTGGATCCACACTGGCTCGCAGACATGGGCGCGGTCTTCTACAGCATCAAAGAGAAAGGGTATTCAGCGAGGGATAAGCGTATTATGGAAACGGAGTTCAACAGGAAAGCTGAGCTGGAGGCGCAGATGGCGGTGGACAAGGCGAACGAGGATAGGAGGATTGCGGAAGAGGAGAATGGGCCGGTGGTTCAGAAGAAGGGTGTTGTGAAGAAGAAGGAGGCGGATGTGGAGGGCGTGGTTAAGAGACCGGTTGTTGGGAAGAAGAAGTTTGGAAGGAGGTAGCTGGGTGGGATGGCATGTGTTTAGGGTTTTACACGGGGGTATTGAGGAGAGAGTAAGAGTATATGGAGTGGATCGATTGGTATGCATTGCAGAATATGTTTATGTAATTTTGTTTTATTCATCATACCTGAACCGCGCCAGGAGATCCTCAGCTACTTTTCACGGATCCATTGTCTAGCTTATGACCTATTGTGGCGACTACATCAGTGGTAATTGCGAGCACACAGATTCCTAAGATTGGTTCACAGGGTTACAATGTTATCGATTCTATTGAGTTGTGAGGTGTACCCTGAATGTATCCTTCTCAGGTAATGGATACAACACGGACAAAAACAAATCATTTTTGCGCACGACACGACGAGATCATTGAACATTGTCTTAAACATTAGACTAGTATCTGATATGTGCTCGTGCTACATGTAAAGAAGACAAGAAACCTAACCATGCAACGCCGTAGGGTATGCCAAGGAAAGCCCAGAACATAATAGAGATGAAGCATCAACTTTGCAAGGAGAAGAATTTTCCGAAACTGTATCGCTAACATATAGGAGCCCGTCCAAAACATCGTAGAGCATCTTGCTGTGATGGATAGATGCTTCTACTCCTCAGCCTCGCTCTTAACTTTGGCGGCAGCCTTGACGAGCTGCTTGAGGCGCTTCTCCATGACAGTGCGTCCGTCGAGCGTGTCCCAGACCTGATGAGGTGCCTTGTTGACAACATCCCAGCTGACGAGGTTGTCAGTAAGGGTAGTCAGATCCTTCTGCTTTCGCTCCCACTCAGAGTCCGTCTTGACCTTGATACCGCTGGAGACGACGACGAGGGGAGTGTTGGCGCTCTGAATGTTCCTAGCAGACGAGACCTCGTTCTTAGTCAGGCTGTCAGCGACAAGGTTCTCCTGGAGCTGAGCCTTGATGTATTTGCCCGATTGGTATGCGTTGCGGCCGTAGACACGGTCTTCACGAGTGCGACCCTTGAAGAGCGCGCCTGCGAGACGGACAGTGCCAATTGGTGAGATGATACCCCAAGCCCAGAGAATGAAACCACGACCGGGTCCACCGATGCGATGCAGAAGATCTTCGTGGAGAGGGTCGATCATCATGATGCCAACGACTTGCTTCAAGTGGCGCGAGCTGAAGATACGGGAGACGATGCTGCCAGTACCCGCAGAGACCAGAATATAAGGACCCTCTTCTCCAGCCTTAGCAAGAGCTTCCGAGAATGCGTCTGCGGACATGCCGGCCGAGTGTGGGGAGGGTGCGTTATCAGAGAAAGCATAGCCGGGGCGGTCCCAGTAGCAGTAGCGGGAGATGGTACCGTTCTTGTAAGCTGCGTAGGCCCAGTGCTCGAAGTCGTACTCCAATGGCGATTCGCCCGCCTCGAGGAGGATGGTAGGGTCGTCGACGCCGTGGGTCTGGGTGACGTTTCCGACGCAGGCGAGATGCACGGCATACTTGTCACCGTCTACAAGGATGCGTTCACCATACATCTTGAGTGTTGCGTCGCGGCCACGCATGCCGAGGGTTCCAGTCATCAAGATGACGATGACGATGAAAACGACGGTAAGAATCGTAGCGACGGTAACAGCAAGCCATTCCTTCAGTGTGCGGCGCGTCTCGGCTCGGCCAGTAAGACGTTCCTCCTCTTCGTGCTTGCCGTATGCGACGACACGATCGGTCAGAATGCACCAAACAGCCATGACGAAAGCCCAGACAACACTTGCGATACCGACCCAGCCTTCCTCGAGCCTGATGCGAGGAATGGCCAAGATGAGGATCATGTCGATGGCTAGGAGTCCGGCGATGATAGCCGTGGTGATGCGCAGGCCTCTGGCAGGAGTAACGAAGAAGATGGTTGCGACGAGAAGGTTGCCAAGGGTGAGACATGTGTAGGCGAAGTCGAAGAAGCCGGATCCACGAGTGTGTAGGCCAGGAGGGGAGACGAAGATGGAGACCAGCAAAAGCACCCACCACAAGAAGGTGACTACGAGGAAGAGGATGGTCAAGTATCGCATGGCGCGAACAGTCCATAGGTTGTATGGTGACACCTGACATGGTTAGATAAATATTGATAAGAACCTCGAATAACTCACAGCTGGGTCATCTGGATCGAGGTAGCCATCTGAGTTGGGTGGTGGCCTGGGACGGTCGAGAAGACGGGTCCTCTCCGTGGGCTCTTCGCTTCTCCTCGATGCTCCATTACTTCTGCGCGAGGACCTCGACGCTCCATCGTCGTTGGAGATTGGTGTGGGTTCCTGAGCCGACAGAAGACCCTGGCCGCCATTGTCGTTGTCATTTCCTTTCCACATGCTGGGCATTGGGAGCTCTTGGAGCTACAAACACCTGCGATATGGTAGTTTTAGCGGACGATAACACTTATCGGTGATTTGCAAGGATCCGTAGAGGTCCCAGGAGAGATTGGAAGAGATTGGAGCTATTCAAAGCTCGTGAAGCTTCGAGGAAGGCGACCGGGGGCGTGGAGGTTTTACTTATGCTTGACGCGCTAAGCCAAAGATCGACCGACGTCATCATCACAGTTCATCCAAGTTCGCGACTAGCGCACATCAGAAGGCTAGATCGTCCCGCGGAAACCTCCAAGCGATCCCTACCACGTACCAACCATCTCCACGGTACCGCCCAGCCTCGTGCCGCATCTCACTGTCGTCTAACGCCGCTGCGTCATTGGATTGCGAAACGGGCTTCGCGATGCATCTCTTTTTGCCTCGAACGGCCTCTCGCTAAGACATTGGCCTTTATCCCTGCCGTCTATCTGATAGCACCCCGCCTGCGTCAAATCCCCTCACGCCTCCAGGCCACGACATATTGGAACGCTCAAGAGAAGCTAGCGGCCAATCACTGACGGGCGGATCTCCACGCTCACGAAACCCTGATTTTTCGACACAAATACAGCCTCGCCCAAGCCACCATGTCCAGCTTGGCTAGAGAGTTCGCAAAGACTAAACTTTCTTCCCTGCCACCGCCGGAGCCCTTGCAGGAGGAGCCTCCCGAGTACGAAGATGACTCGTCTTCGGCATCGTCAATGTCTAGCACCGGTACTGTCAGACCGTCAAATACACTAAGACCCGCCCCCGCAATACATTGGTCCGACTACTACGCCCAGGAGTTCTATCTTGAGCAGCGCAGGGATGGGTCAGGGCATGCCAAGTTTCACGTATACCTCACACCGCCGGCGACAGCGAAAGCACCCTTGGTCGTGCTCCACCATGGCGCTGGGAGCTCAGCAATGTCCTTTGCGCTGGCAGCCAAGGAGATTCGCAGGGCCATGCCAGAAATTGGGATCCTAGCTGTCGAAGCACGCGACCACGGAAGTGTAGTATGGAACGCTAGTGGAGAAGTGGACAACGACCTGAGCATTGGGCAGCTCAGTCAAGATTTGGTCGACATGCTGTCGCTGACCAAGAGCAAGATGAACTGGAAAGAGCTCCCACAGATTGTGTTGATAGGACACAGTCTGGGTGGTGCAGTCGTCACCGACGCTGCGAACAAGGGCTTACTAGGAAACAAGCTGCTGGGCTTTGGAGTGCTTGATGTTGTCGAAGGCTCGGCCATGGAAACACTGGCACATATGCACACTTACCTTGCGAGTAGGCCCAAGTCGTTCCCTTCGCTTCCTGCTGCTATCGAGTGGCACATCCGATCACGAACGATACGCAACCCCCAGTCAGCGCGAGCAAGCGTACCAAGCCTGCTACTACAGAACTCGGATGGGCGATGGGCATGGCGGACGGAGCTCGCGAGCACAGAGCCATACTGGGAAAACTGGTTCACGGGCATGAGCGGCAAGTTCCTCAGCGGAAAGGGTGCTAAGTTGCTGCTGCTCGCTGGAACCGACAGGCTGGATAAGGAACTGATGATTGGGCAGATGCAAGGTATGTCTATCGCCTTGTCGCTTTTGTATGAGGTATCTAATGTAATACAGGTAAATTTCAACTCCAGGTCTTCCCTGCTGCTGGGCATTTCCTCCACGAAGACCTCCCGGAAAAGACTGCTGAAGTCGTGGTCGAGTTTGTGAAGCGCAACGACCGGAGTGCGCTTATTCTTCCGCCTAAGGTCTCTGATCTCCTTGCGCAAGGCAAGAGAGTATAGGACTACCATCGCGAGTCTTTCCCTTCAACGGACTCGCCCCAATTGACCTATATTATGCATGACATACGATCATGGTAGGTTGTCCCGCCCATTCGGCTCTCAAACCTGACAGCCTCCAGTACGTCGGGTATCGCATGTTGGCCCACACTTGGACCAGGTTCTCCTGCTCCAGCTATCATGGCGAGGCAGGCTCACCTCCATCCGGCGCATCGCCGCCATCATCAGCCTTGGACTTGTGCTTCCGCCTCCTCTTACGAGGTGCTGATTCTTCCCGGTCGCCCCTCTGACTGTCTCCACCGTTGGTCTCAGATGTAGACGGCCGCGACTTCTTGGTAGCACTGGGCTTGGTCGTCTTGTCGTTCTTCGGCTTCTTGACGCTCAGCGGATTGGGTCCCTTGGGGCCCTTGCGCTTCTTTGCCTTGGGCTTTGCGTCTCCCGTAGCCTGATCTCCAATAGATTGATCACCTTGTCCCTCATCTTCTCGTTTCCTCTTCGGGGCCGTGGCCGCATCTGGCTTCCGCTGTCCCTTGAGTCCCAACTTGAACTTTGATTTTTCTTCTCGCTCGCGGTGTTGCTCCGTGACATCAGCCATAGACTCCATGAGCACTATAGACTTGGACAGGTATATGATGGGTACGCCGGCGATCTGTCGCATCTTTGCGCGCGTGCTTGGGTCGTTGGCGGCGACGACATATCGATGCTTGTTTGTCGCATTGTCCTTGGGATCCACCACAGAGCTCAGGCACTCGAGCGTGCTCAGCGGCTTCTCCAAATCTTGATGGTTGCACCGCCGACGTTCGTACTCCTTGGCTTGTAATATGAGGGTCTCGTTCTTGGGTTCTGCGAGGTAGAGGTGTCGCATGTCGCACGTCGTGATCATGGGCTTCACCTGTCCGCCGAGCATCTTCTGGAGTCGCGCGAGGAGGTCGATCTTGCAGGAGTAGGCATCTTCGAGGATCTGTGAATCGAGCAGGACTTGGTAGGGTTCGCGGAAGCCGAAGTTGAGTTCGTATTGGTGGAGCTGCTTTTTGTACGCCTGTGGTGCGATTAGTAGACTGCTCGAGGACGTGCAATAAGATTCCGTCGCTTACCTTTGCGCGCTTCAACTTCATGGCGACTGTGTGTTTGGGAGTGGTTGATTACTCGCGGGGAAAAAAAGTTGGATGCGGCCAAAGTTTGGACCCAGAGGGCGGAATCTAACGCATGCACCAGCCACACGCGTGCGACGCTAGCCCCGTATGCGACGTCTGCGGCTTGGAGACACCCCCGTTGCTCTCCGCTTTAGTAAATCCGCCTCAGGGCATCCCACGCCTAATTGTACATATTGTACGTACCCGCACATACATTTGGATTGCTCCCTACGGCGGCCCCTGCGCTTTTCCCTGTTGATACGACTGCGAACCTGCCTCTCCATGCGTTTCTCACGGTAGTCCCCACCAGTATGAGCGAGAACCCCGCCGCGGCCCCCAAGAATGAGGGAAATAATGCCGAGACCGCGGAGGTGAAGAAGGAACCCAATGAAGCGGTTGAATACGATGATTTTGGTCTGCCTATACGGAAGAGGCGGCCGCGGACGCCCGTGGAGGACAGTTCCGACTCGGAAGGGGAGAAGTTTGAGGATGCCGTAGCCTCTACAGCGGCGGGTCCGAAGGAGGTCGCGGTGCCAGCACAAGAAAAGGACGAAATCAAGGCAGAGAGTACGGTGGAAAAGCTTTCTGAGGCCGCACCTGAGGTTACTGCGAAGGAAAGCGATGCGACACCGCAAGTCAATGGGCAGGCGAAGGAGCCCGTGGAGGACACCGACCCCAAGGCACCCGAAGACAAGCCTGTGGAAACGAAGCAAGACACACCCGAACCTACAAAGCCTCCCGAGACCACAGAAACACGCACAAGCACGAGTGCCGCGCCTTCACTTCCCCAACAAACGAGCGTTCCGACCGTATCCGAGTATTCACACCAGCATGCAGTCATACAGTCACAAAGAGAAGTCAAGGAGGAGAAGAAGGAAGAAGACGACGGCGAATGGCAGACTATGCCCGCATACGCTCGATACGACATGTACGACGACGACAACAGGCTCATTGCGGAGGAGAACACGGAAGAGCTGGAAGACATGCACGGTTATGCCAACGTCGGAGGCGCTGCCAAAGGATACACCAGGGTTATAATGGACGACGATGCTGACTCGCAAACGAGCATGGACGACAACACCGCCTATCTGTTCAAGGAGAGGAGTACTGCACTAGCCGATGAAGACGAGGAGGGTCGGGACCCGCTCTCGCAAATGCAGGCGACGAAGAACCTCCTCACCGAAGGACAGCGTGTCGCATACGTCGGTCTGGTACGATTGGCCATGGTGGAGATGGAACGCAAGTTCTCCAACTTCGAAACGACCAACAAGAAGATGAAGAAGCTGCTCGAGCTACAGTCAGGAACGACAAAGATGTGGGCACAGAAGATCATGGTCAAGATTTACGGGCACATGGACATCAACGCCTCTGAGCAGATCATGATCGAGCAATTGTCTGAACACGGCGTGGTTCCTGGAGACCTTACACCAGCACTGATGCAGAATGCGCGAGTAAAGAATCCCGCAGCGGAAGACGCGGAGACGGTGAACGACTCAGACTCTGCCAGACCGTCTATATCGTCGCCGCGCCCCGAATCACCCGCAGAGAAGTCAAAACTGAAGAGGGCTTCGACGATGGAGTCGCAAGACGATCTGCAAACACCGCCTCCCCAGCCGTACCAGGAGCACCAGGATGACGATTTTGATTATCCAGAAGTCAGGTCGCCGTCACAACTTCCCACTAGTAAGAACCTGGATATCGATTTGCGGTGGACCGTCTTGTGCGATCTGTTCTTGGTACTCATCGCCGACTCGGTCTATGATTCACGTTCACGAGAGCTGTTTCAGCAAGTTGGGCAATATCTCAGCGTAGACTGGCTGGAAGCTTGTCGCTTCGAAAAGCGTGTCACCGACGCTTTGGAGATGCAGGAACAAGCAGACAAAGAGAACTGGAACGAGGATGAACACATGGTCAGCCGAGCTAAGCGGGCACGCAACAAGCGATTGGCATTCATGGGTCTTGCAACTGTTGGCGGTGGTCTTGTTATCGGATTGTCTGCTGGACTTCTTGCTCCAGTCATTGGTGCTGGTCTCGCTGCGGGCTTTACGACAATTGGCGTGGCAGGCACGAGTAGTTTCCTAGCTGGTGCTGGCGGTGCCGCTATCATTACATCGACTGGCGTAGTCACGGGTAGTACTGTCGGCGTACGAGCCATGAACAGGCGAACAGGTGCTGTCAAGACGTTCGAGTACCGTCCGCTTCACAACAACAAGAGAACACATCTCATCATTACGTTGGCAGGCTGGATGAACGGAAAGGTTGACGATGTCCGTCTTCCGTACAGTACGGTCGATCCCATCATGGGCGATATATATTCCGTGCTATGGGAACCTGAGATGCTGAGGAGTATGGGTGACACAATCAACATCCTTGCCACTGAAGTGAGTTTATATACATGCAAACTGCAAAGGTGCTTACTGACCACAACAGGCTCTCACACAAGGTCTCCAACAAGTCTTGGGAAGTACCGTTCTTACAGCTCTCATGGCCGCCATGACACTTCCCCTGGCCTTGACCAAGCTTTCTTACCTTATCGATAATCCGTGGATCGTTTCGCAAGCACGAGCAGACATGGCTGGACTGATTCTTGCAGACTCACTCATCGATCGCAACCTCGGGACACGACCTGTCACCCTTGTCGGTTTCTCGTTAGGCTCAAGAGTCATATTCTCATGTCTGAAAGAACTTGCGAATCGAGGGGCGTTTGGTATTGTGCAGAATGTGTACATGTTCGGTACACCGGCAGTAGCCAAGCATGATGAGTACATCAGGGCAAGATCTGTCGTACCGGGAAGGTTTGTCAATGGGTATGCTACCAATGACTGGATCTTGGGTATGTTGCGTATCTTTCTTCTACTTGCTGTCAACTGCTAACAGCGGGTCCAGGCTACCTTTTCCGTGCAACCAGTGGTGGTGTAATGCGCGTAGCTGGTCTCGCGCCTGTCCAGATCCCGACCATCGAGAACGTAAACGTGACCGAGCTGGTCCCCGGCCACATGGCCTACCGTGCCGCCATGCCCAAGCTACTCCGCGAGGTTGGCTGGCTAGTTGAATCCGACGAATTCGCCGAGATCGAAGACCCAGACCCCGAGAATCATGAAATCCGCCAGCGTGAGCTCATCAACGAGATCGAAGAAGCGCGAAAAGACCTGGAGAAGAAAGCACAAGAGAAGGAGAAGAAAGGCGGCAAACTAAGCTGGTGGAAGAAGAAAAAGGCCGACAAGAAAGACTGGGAAGTCTACGACGAACACTCCACCGCAGCTCCGCCCGGCCACCGGAAGCTAGACGTAGACCAAGACCCCGCGAAACTCGCCGAGAACCAGGTCATGTTCGACATCGACGCAATCAGAAAGGAAGTAGCAACTCTAGCCGCCGAAAGCAAAGAATACAACGCCGAAGCCGAATTCGAGATTAAAGAAATCAAGAGCACGCTCCCACCCATGAAGATCGACATCGCAACCGTATCCCCATCCCAGACAACAAGTCCGTACTCGACGCTTAGGGAAACGAAGAGCTACAACGACAGTCTAGGCATACCAAGCACAGATGCCAAAAAACCTTCTCCTTCATCCAACGGCCACTACGACGAATACGACGAATTCGATGACCCCGGCGCGAGTCAAATGGAAATGACATTTGACACCTCGTTCCGCGACCCCCCTTCCTCCGCTACAACACCGAACAAATACCCCCTCCCCGCATCACCCTTACCCCTACAACCAAGTCGCTCCGGCACATCCTCGCCCTGGGACTCGGGCACACCCAGTAAAAACAACTCTGGCACTGCCCAGCCTTGGAATGCAGATGCTACTACTGGTCAGCCGTCTTGGGACGATGCTACAGGCCCTGCAGAACGCCCTCCGTTGCGTTCAGCGAAGACGGAATCGCATGCGAGTAGTTTGGGTCCTGCGCAGTCCACGGGTGATCTAGGACATAATGCTTGGGCTGATGAGTTTGAGGATGATTTTGGGCAGGAGAAGGAGGTTAAGATGAGTTTTATGTGATGGGAGGGGAAGGGGTATCCCTTTCTCGTTAATGTGGCGTATTAGGCTGGTTGCATGTTGTTACCCGTTTGCTGTTTTTGCTCGCGCCTTGTTGCATATTTCAGCGCGCATTATGGAGTTTGAATGTCGTTATGTAGTCAGTAGTAGGCGTTTGTATTACGTGCGTTGGGTTGGGAGATGTTGTTTGGCGTAGGCATTGGGTGGGTATGCGATTGGGTAGTCGTTTCTTGCTCATTGCTTGCGTAGGTGTCATAGATAGTAGATAATATCAATAAGAACATATGTCATGCATTTTGACCATTTGGCACAAGTTTGGACAATTTACGTGTGTCATTAATCGTAACCTACTAAAAACTACTCGTATATCGTACACGGCTCCTATCGAGCCCCCATATGCGGCGCAAACTATGATATACCATGAATGTACGTCATCTATGCGCTAATACCGTCGAACCCAAAACATAAAGGAAAACAATGACGCTCAATATGCGTTAGTATGCCATGCGTATGTATACAATTTCGAAAAGTCGCTTAAAACGGAATGGGTATCAAGCCGTTGCGTGTGCGTGCGGAGCCTCGGAAAAGCGCTTGGAGCGTGGGAAGAGCGAGATCCCCTAGATCTCGGCTTCTTGCTTGCGACGACGGATGCTACCGAGACGCCTCTTGATTGCGCCGCCAACGCTCCTACCAGTGGTGTTGCTGCGGCCGATGCCAGAGGCTTCAGCGTCGGTAGCGACGGAAGGGACGATGCCGGGTGCTTCGGCATGGCCAACGCTGCGAGTGCGAGAGCTGCGGGTGGTCATCTCTGTGCCGCTGTCGCCGAAGCGCTTGTGGTCCTTCAGGGCCTTCTCGATGGAGTAGGAAGGCTCACCCTTGCCCTTGAGATCGTCTGGGTGGTATTCCTGTGATGTGTTAGCAAAGTTCGGCCTAGGAATTATTGCAGAACATACAACACCAGGCCAGCGACGGTAGTCAGCTCCAGGCTCTCGCATCAGGTCAGCACCCTCTTCATAATTGAGTACTCTTCCGAAACGATCAGCCATGCCAGGTGGTACGATGGCGACTCCCTCCAAGGGACGATGCCTCTGTACAGAGTCGACGATGTTCTCCCGTGGAGTAGCCCTCAAAGCCTCCTCGTTCGAGTCCTTGACCGCCGCGAGGGGACTGTATTTTTCGACGCGGTTGCGAGCGAGACTGGCAGCATCGTATGGGCCCTCGTGATGGTACCGACCGAAAGGTGCCTTGTCGAGACGATCGATGACGTCGGCGCCTTGGAAGTTCTTTTTCCTAAGATGGGGAGCACGGTGAGCAACTTTCTCATCATGACGCAATTGGTCAAGAGGCCTGTGTGACTTGTCACCAGGATAGCGCTCTCTCAGTGAGCCTGAGCGGTCTCGCGTTACTCCGCTCTTCTTCATGGATGCAGGGGCATTTTCGCTGGATCGTCGGGGTCGGCTTCCGTTCATGGGTCCGAAGATTTCCGCGCGGTGGTTGTCGGAGAAATGGGCACGTCTGGGGCTGGCAGAGGCAGGAGGGGATGGGTAATCATACCTCCTACTCTGCGGTGTAGTCTGCCCAACCTGCGATACTGATGCCGAAGCGCCCTTTGCCTCGGATGAAGCCCGGGAACGGCGGAATGGGTTGGTCTCGACGGAACTGCCGGTGTTGTGGACACTGACGGTTGGGTGGCCTTTGGCGTCTCCAGCGGATCCGGGTGGTGTGATGGGTGCTGCGGGAGCATATGTGGAGCGGAAGTGGCTGTTGAGGCCAGTCTCATCGCTTGGGTCTGGTTCGATCAGAGGATCGATCAACGCATGATGGGCCTGCTAAGTCAGCTTCAATGTCTAACGATGATTTATTGCGCTGAACTGCTTTGAGACGGGCTTAGTGAGGCGTGCCGGCGCACATGGGAGGCACAATAGATTGTCCAATCATGCGCCCGGAGCGAACGAAAGATAAATACTTACTGCGTCCATTGCCATGATGGTTGGTTTGTGTGCTAGTGTTTGATAGTTCACGAACTTGGGGAGGTTGGAGTAGTTGTAGTGATGGAGATTAGTGGTCGGACGAGTGTCAGGTGCTAGATGGATACGAGAGGAAAGAACAGGTGACGGGAGGGAGAGCGAACTACATAAAGGCCTGACTTGGCAGGTACCGTGGACGCGTACATCATCGGTTCGCAGTCGCGGCCCTGCGTCAGATTTCTTCTTGTCCGCTCTTGGAGAAAAGAGCGGCCCAATCGCTGCCATACGTCATGCGGATGCGCTAGGCTGCAAGTGGGCCCGCCGCTTGGTCCTCTCCACGAGTGACGACAGCTACGATGATCCCTCACCATCACGATCCAGCCCGCCATGTCGCTGGTCGATTATCCAGATTCTGCCTCGGATGATGATGATAACAGCCTCGATGCCTTTGCCCAGACGGCACAATCTGCCGCCAAACCTACATCGAAGCGCAAGCACAGCGCCTCTGGGGATGCCCTGCCACCGCTTCCGCCAGCCTTTCACGACCTCTACGCGACAAATGCGCGCGTCAGCACTAGCGACAACCCAAGCCTACACGGTGGACGAAAACGGGCTGTACCTCACGTCGAGGGCAAGTGGCCTAGTCATGTTTACTTAGAGTGTAAGGATACCCAGAAAAACTCCCCACCAATATGGATGACAGACTAACGCGTTCGAGGGATACCTACACAGCCTGAGTCTGATGCTCTACACAGCCTACTACAGCATGTGAGAGATACTATTGATCTTGAAAATGCCAAGCGAACGAAGAAACTGCCCGTACCAGAGATCCTACCATCTCTTCAATCAGAACTGGGTGCGTCGCTACCTCTTCATGTCTCCTTGTCGCGCACCTTGCAAATCAACACCGACAGCAGAGAGCCTTTTCTGGAATCATTAAGTGTTGCTGTGCGGCGGTCCGCAGTGCGCGCTTTCAATTTTGAGTTTCAGAACTTGAAATGGGTGTCCAACTTCGATCGCAATCGATGGTTTTTGGTCCTTGGCATTAAGAAGTCACGGCTCAACGAACTTAACCGCCTGCTACAAGCATGCAACGACGCGACCCAATACAGCGGTCATCCAGGTCTGTATACAGGCGGAGTGGGAGACGGTCCGAAGGAGAGCCATGACTCTAATGACGGTCCGAAGCGGAGGAAGGTCGACAAGAATGAGCCTCAAAGCCATGATTATTCGCAATATTTCCACGTCAGCATCGCTTGGAACCTGGCTGAGCCTGACCCTGAGTGGGTTGCTCTGGTCCAGGATATCGACACCAGTAAGTTCGTTCAGGCACCTGAGGCTGCTTTTGATGCTGTCAAAGTGAGGATTGGAAACACGGTCCATAATATTGCCCTGGCTAGCAAGAGAGCTGGTCTGGGGAGGGTCGGAGGAGGGCTGGGTTTGGCATGATCATCGCATTGCGATGACGTGCCGGGTTCTGGATTCGCAAGCTGGCCAGGGTCTTATCTCCTGTTGGGTGTCAGGAATTATGGACCCGGCAGCACGTTCCAACAACAACACGGCACACACGAACAGATACTTCACGTGCGCACAACTCTGAGTGTGGAGGTCTTTAAACAGGATCCGCCTCATTTGGCGACTGGATCTCGGATGCGATGTAGGAAATCACTTCGGATCGTAGAATACTTTTAGATTGACGTAGGTAATTGCGGACAACGATCGCGCAGTACAAGAAAAAGCAACGCGATCAGATCCCAACACATGGAACTCGTACCGGTTCTTTTCGACGAAGAAGAACAATGGCATCATGTGATTGCTCCTTTCGCATCTCGTTCCAACGGCTTGCGGCTCCAGGCACAGCATTCACCGAACATCACTTGGCTCAAAGCTTGATGCAGATAAGGCGCGTTGCGACATGTAACCTTATTTATTCTCAGTAAGCACTAACTTGGCTGGACTCACGCGACCGTCGAGCCACGTTGATCTCGGACGAACCTCGTGCACATGTGAGTTATGCATTTCCAGGCCCTCTGGAACAGCCCATCAATTGATGGCGAAGTGAATGGCATCTCGAAGGTCATTCCCAGTCTCTGAATTCATGTCTGTGGCGGCTGGCTTTCGAGGCGCAAACTTTCGGCACTTCGAGCAGTTTCGGGCCCGACGCGTCAAACTCGCGCTGTGTACACATTCGCGACCCGAAGGTCCGCGCGAGGACGAGACACGTGACGCTTGAACTAGGCAGCACAACAGGTGTAGATGTATATATCGCGAGGTTTGAAGGTGTGATATCATTTATATTGGATCTTGATTCAAGAAGCTCCAGTTGTACTACTTTCCGCTTTGCTCACGCCCTGCATTTACAATTGAAGAAGTTGTCATCACCAAAAAAATCGCGAACAGCAATCCGAGTCCATCAAGACACCAGTCAAGGAACTGCTACCCCCCTGAATAGCCATGGGATCAATCATGAAGCCTTTTCAACCCAAGATTGGCCTAGTTGGCGCTGGCCCTGCCTCTCTTACCCTCGCCAACATCCTTCAGAAGCACTCTATCCCCTTCATCATCTTCGAGTCCGCGTCAGAACTCCGCACGCAAGGCGGCTCCCTGGACCTCCACCCAGAATCCGGTCAGCTCGCCATCAAAGAAGCAGGGCTTTGGGAACCGTTCGCCAAACATGCACGTCCAGAGAGCGACTGCATGAAGGTTGTGACTTTGGACGGAGAGGTACTTTGGGATGAGAACGGCGCTGACAAGCAAGACATCAAAGAGGATGAGAAGTTTGAGGGAAGGCCTGAGATCGATCGAATGGCGTTGGCGACGCTGATGTTCGAGAACCTGAAGGAGGGGTCCGTACAATTCGAAAAGAAGCTGAAAGAAGTTGTGCCCTCTGATGAAGGAGAGGGGAAATACGATCTGCACTTCTCAGACGACACGAAAGAGTCCGGATTCGATCTCGTGGTCGGGGGAGATGGCGCGTGGTCCAAGGTTCGCAAACTTCTCACCGACCAAATGCCACAGTACTCAGGTATAGCTTCTATCGCAGTGTCGTGCAAAGACATCAAGGCTGATCCCTGGCTGCTTGACTATGTCGGCTCGGGCTCGATGTTCGCTTTTGGGGAGGGTTGCGCGGTGCAGTCACAACGGCAAGGTGACGGTAGCCTAGGGACGTACGCCAGCGTGCATGCACCAGAGGATTTCCTGCAGACGTGTGGCATCGATTGGGACAACAAAGCGACGGCGCGCAACACTTTTGTCGACCGCTACCTCTCTCATATACACGATGACCTCAAGCGTGTCATCATGTCCTCTGATGAAAACAGTCTCATTCCTCGCAAGCTGTACGAGCTGCCGGTTGGATTTCGCTGGCCCTCTCGCTCAGGCGTTACCCTTATCGGCGACGCTGCGCATGTCTTCACACCGTTTGCTGGACTAGGAGTCAACACGGGCATGAAAGACGCGTTGGTATTGGGGAAGGAGATTGTCAAAGTGTGCCGTGGAGAGAAATCTCTGGATGCTGCTGTGAAAGACTACGAGGAGGAAATGTTTCCACGGTCCACAAAGGCGGCATTCAAAACGGTAAAGGGGAAAGAGGGGCATTTCAGTCGGGATGGAGCTAAGCATTTTGCCGATATGATCAGATCGAAGTACTACAGGCAGGATGAGGTCGTTGCGAAGTAGGGAGGTGGGAGTCCAGACTCTGGGGGTGGATCAGAATACTGGGTCGTAGTGATGTTCTCGAAGAAGTCCTGGAAGAATTGGATCTGCATTGCGGTATTTCATGGCATAACAATACATACTCGACTCACTACAGTTCTTAAGTTGTATGCAAATCCATAAGTGTATAACGTGACCATCCTGGGGGTGTGAGTTGAGGACCGGAGGAAGCCGTAGGAATACCAACGAGTCGACGAATGCTGGAGCTTGCTTGCTACATATTCTAGCTTGAATGATCGCTTATCGGCGAACGACTGCCTATAGCTATGGGACAGAAGGCTCTGTCAGCGCGGGTACAGAGTGGTCGCCTGACTTCTTGTTCAATCGCTCGGCACCGAGTTATGTAGCCAATGCCGACCAGGCACCCAAGGCTCGCAGCGCTTGGTACAACTGACTACGCGCCATTGTAATTGCGATGGATCGCCGCTCGTAAAGTTGACATACACACCGTATTCATGCGCACGAAAAATTCCACTTAGCCACATCTATGTTTAGCAGCTCGCGGGTGTCTGTCTGCCGAAGAACGCGGTATCGTCAAGCGGAGAGTTTAGTGATGTCCATCAATAGCGGTGGGCGCGGTAATAAGGCGCCGGCCGCTCTTGAGTCGTGAGAGAAAAGGGGCACGCACCAACATCCAGCACCGCCTGAACTTCCACCCCAACCCTTCGATGCGGCTTTCGGCCAATTAAAGAACGCCCGGTAGGCAGAACCCTGCACAAGTCGTTCTGTACCTGCATGGTGGCGCAAGCTGTGCCCTTGCTCTACTACGAGCTGCACAAAGATTAGCCGTTCGCGATTGCTACTTGTGATTGCTGATATGCGCGTTGCCGTGGATTTGATGAGGATGGAACCATCCGATGGGTCCTAATTAGCGACACGAGGAGGGTCTTACCAAAACGGTTATCGGGCACATGGCAGCTAAGAGAAATGCAACAAGTGGCTATGCTGCGATAGAGTTCACTCGTTCCCCGGCGGAGTTGGCGCAAAGATTTGGTGTGGTGTTTGTTGCCGTGACGCTCTCTCCTGCACGGAAGGGTTGCTCAGGGTGAAAGTAGGCTAGCCCCATCCCGACCTAGACTGGACCCACCCTCGACCTAACACGACAATTATACCCCAGACTCATTTCCGCTCGGAGCACATCACGATCTCAATAGAGCCGTAGGATGCCGCCCATGCCGTTCTTGTACAACAATGATCACGCCAATTTCCAGGACCCCTAACCTAACGCCTTAGAGGCAGTTCTCCACCAACTGGTGCTCACAGGCCATGGCACATAGGTCAAAACCGCTGTGTTCCCCAAGGTTTCCTTCTTTTTCTCACTACGCAAGGCTTTCAAGTTACGCATCACCAGCCTCGTTGACAAGCACCCTTGGCCTTTGTGCCCCGTCACTCATTACACACTTTACTTAATATTACCCGCTTCACTCGCTCAGCGGACGATCACCACTACCCCTAGCCACCCCAAACCACGTAAACAAGATCAAGATGCGTTACTCTTACGTTGCAGCTGCCCTCGTTGGGTCTGCTGTTGCCGCGCAGCACAAGGCTCATGCTGGATTCCACATGCGCCGTGGAGCTTACGCTCCCGAGGAGGTTTGCACGGTCTACACCACCGTCTACGAAACCGCAAGTATGTGAAACCCATGTTAGAAGGAGCCGTGAACAAAGAGGAACAGTTATGGCCATTGTCTTTCAGCGACTAACATGATTCAGTGCCCTCCATGGCTCCCAACTCCACCATGCCCGCTGTCCCAACTTCCGTCCATGCGGAGACCGCCTCCACCTCCTGCACTGAGGAGGGAAAGACTTCCATGTACACTCCCGTCGTTCCGGCTCCCTCCAGCCCGGCTCCCGTAGTACCCGGATCTTCCATGCCCGGCTACCCTGCTGTTCCTGAGTCCAGCAAGCCTGCGGTTCCCGAGTCCAGCATGCCCGCGATGCCCGAGTCTTCCAAGCCCGCCTACCCTGAGGTGCCCATGTCCTCCACACCTGCGTACCCCGCAGTTCCCGAGTCCTCCAAGCCAGCTGTTCCCGCTGTCCCGGAGTCTTCCACCACCTGCACTGAGGAGGAGGGCATGACTTCCTCCATGGAGGCCCCCAAGCCCACTGGCCCGGCTCCCGTCCCAGAGCACTCCACCCCAGCTGTCCCCGCTGTTCCGGAGACCTCCACTACCTGCACTGAGGAGGAGGGAAAGCCCACTGGCCCTGCCCCCGTCCCAGAGAACTCCAAGCCCGCTTACCCCTCTGTGCCTGAGGTCACTAAGCCCGCTGTCCCTGAGGTTCCCGAGACCACCAAGCCCGCGGTCCCTGAGGTCCCTGCTCCCTCCAAGCCGGCTTACCCCACCGTTCCTGAGGTCTCCAAGCCTGCTGTCCCTGAGGTTCCCGAGGCGTCCAAGCCTGCCTACACCCCTGAGGTCCCTGCTTCCTCCAAGGAGGCTGAGAAGCCCAAGCCCACTCCCAGCGCCACCCACGGCTCTGACAAGCCCAAGCCCACCGGCAGCTACAACAACGGTGAGCACATCAAGACCAACGGCGACAAGTGGGCTATTACCTACACTCCCTACGCCAACGACGGTAACTGCAGGACCGCCGACGAGATTGCTGCCGACATCAAGAAGATCTCTGAGCTCGGTTTCACCACCATCCGCTCCTACAGCACTGACTGCGGTGTCTTCGAGCACGTTGTCCCTGAGTGCACCAAGTACGGACTCAAGGTCATCTACGGCATCTTCCTCGAGGCCGGTGGCAAGGCCGGAAAGGGTCCCTTCTCCAGCTACGCCAACGACCAGTTGAACGACATCAAGGAGAACGCCCCCAAGGACTCTGTCGCCATGGTCATTGTTGGAAACGAGTGCGTCTTCAACGGTAACTGCGAGGTCAGCGAGCTTGGTTCCTACCTCGACTACGTCCGTGATGAGCTCCGTGGCGCCGGCTTCCCCTCTGACATCGCCATCACCACCACCGAGACTGTTGGATCGTGGGAGACGATTGGTGATGCTCTCTGCGACCACATCGACATCTTCACCGTCCAGATCCACCCCTACTTCACCCAGTCCGTTACCGCTGACATGGCTGGTGACTTCGCTGCTCAGCAACTCGAGCAAGCCGCCAAGGTCTGCCCCGAGGCCGCTGCCAAGGGCAAGTTCATCACTGAGATCGGCTGGCCCAGCGCTGGTACCTCCAACGGCAAGGCTGTTGCCGGTGTCCAGGAGCAGAAGACTGCCATGAAGAAGATTCTCGAGAGCGTCGGTCCCGAGTCCTGCGTTTTCTCCTTCGCCAACGACGGCTGGAAGGCGCCCGGTGACCTCAACGTTGAGCAGAACTTTGGCTGCGTCGACGCTCTTCTCGACGGTCTTAACATCTCCATCGATGTCTCCTTGTAGAGTCCCTATGATGTAGCCCGTAGCTCTTTTGTCAATCACGTTTAGCTACGTTATGCGTTCACGTCTTGCATCTGTCTTCATTCTGACCATACTATGTTTACTGCAAGTCGATAGCGAAGGTGGCTTGGAGGTAGTTTTTAGTGTTTAATCTATTTGCCAACAAATAGCAATATCCTGTTCAAACAAGCTTTGGTATGTGCGCAATGTTCCCAGCCGTGAAATCGCTCATGTTTTGGGTCGGTGGAGGTTGCTAATCTTCTCGGTGGGACGCAATTTAGACGTGGCATGTCAGGCATGGATCCTGCGACAACGCCGGAGATCAGGCGGTGCGAATCCCACTCCCGTAGTTGAACATGGAGAAGCAAGCCTGACGAGAGATGTCACCGACAGCATTGTCTACAGAATTGGGTAGGCCGTTTGCGGGGTTGCTGTGCCGCATGAGCACAGACCTAGGCGCCTTCCGATGCATGCGTTGAGATCTCTGCATCTGAACCAGACCTTCCGCGAATAGGTATTTGTCTTATCGCACATCTCTTCCACGTGCATGTTTCGTAGATATTCCACAGACAGCTGATTGCGCAGTCACCGCTATCGACACTGCATTCGAATACCCGAGCATCGACAACTTCATCAACGTCATTGACAATGGCAACCACCATCCCGGGCTTTCTCAGGCTACCACTCGAAATCCGCCAGCAGATATACCACTATCTTCTCGCGCAAAGTTTCCAGAGTCGAACGATCAACATGAGCGTCCGACAGCGACACACTGGCTATAAACTGCAAGGTCTCGAAAGCATTCAAAGCCTTGTATTCGTCAGCCGCATCTTCCACGACGAGCTTCTCAACTACTGCTTCAGCCGTTTCAACTTCTTTCTCCACAACGGCTCAGAGTCCATACGCTGGGTGGCACGAGAATTCTATCGCCAAATCGGAGTCGAGAACAGGAAGCTGGTCAAATACATCACCATTCCCAGCTTCAGTATCGATCTTGTAATGATGAATCCAGACAATATGATTGAACTCTTCGCCGTTCACAAGGCTTTCTGCCTCGAGCTTTTGGATGAGATGCAGCGTGTTTTTGCCCTTCTGGCACGCTTCCCAGCATTGGAAGAACTCGATCTGGGTATTGACAGTCTGGAGGCAGTGCGTCTGACTGATCGCATGCATTGCAATATACCACCGCCGTCTACGTCGAGAGCAGATCTGAGAAGAGAGCGTGGGTTGATGTACGCGACTGATATCAGGGACGCTCTGCAAGAAGCAAGGTTTCTACCAGCAAGGGTGACTATCGGTATCTGGTGGACGACGATAGGTCAGGATAGAACTGAACTAAGAACGGATGAGGAAATTCGGCAAGACCAGGAAGACTTTCTGCATCGAGTACGAGAAGACATTATGCCTGTCCGAGTAATATGTAAAGGCGTCATGTAAATAAGGAGCGACTCTGGAGGTCTTTAGTCTGGTCCTCGTGATTTAAACAATGAAATTTAACATAAGACAGAGCCGTAGCATTCAACATTAGCGGTCAGTCTCGTCTACTTCTGGTATTTCTCGCATGAGAACTTCATCATATACGAAAGCTCAAGAACTAAGACTGGATACCTAGCTACCCCCAAACGCTATTGTCAGCGCATGTGAAGGAGCCTTCGACAGGAACGAGAGGATCATGGTACGCAGCTACAAGCTGCTCAATGGAAGCCCATAGACCGACACCGTTCGCAAACAAAGTCAAGCCGATGATGGTCCAGTTTAGAACAGCCAGACACGTCTTCTTCCAATCGCGGAACTGAACGTCCCAGTTAAGGTAGAGCCACATGACTCCCGATATCCCAAACGTAAACCAGGAGACGAAGAGCGCGGCCGACACCGACAGGATCGAATGGAAGAGTGGTATGGCGTTTGCGAGAAGGAACACAAGGGTCCAGAAAGTGGCGCCAATACCGAGCCACATTACCCAGGTCTGCCTGGTGTTTTGGCTGTACTCGCTCTCTCTGCCCATGAAGCGTAACCACTCGATGAACATGTATCTGATCGATGTATGGCCAAACACCAGCGATGTTCCAAGTAGCGTAGGTAGGAGAAGACCATACGCGATCTTAGCTGTGATGATGGATGCTGCTCCGAGTGCAGGACTGGTAGTATATTGTCCCGCTAATGCATAAACTACTATTCCAACGGTCGTATACATGGGTATTGCGAAGCCCTGTAGAATGAATACCGAAGGCATGAAGTCTATTGACGGGTCTTGCATCTCTGCCATCACTGTAACGAATGCCTGGTTGCCGGCATACGCGAAAGCGATATTAAGAACGGAGGTAAAACCTTGCGCGAAGGAAGGATGACCAACTAGCACGATCTCTTTCTCCCATCCTGGTGGCGCACCGTTAGGTCCAGTGATACCAAGTGCAACCATAACGATGATAGTCGCAGCAAGGATCGAGATAGTGCAAGGGACTGCCACACATTAGCCTTTCTTGTGACAAACCAGGAGCTAGACTTACTGCCAAAATCCGCCAGAAACTTCATGCGTCTGGGCATACACAGAACGCAAGAAACGATAGTAGGGATCAGAATGAACAAGATGGTGCACATGGCATGCTCCGAGATGCTGTTAAGCGCGATGCTCATAGTGATGACGGCGGATGAGCAAGCAAAGAGCTGGTTGAGCACGAAGCCAATGCCTACAACAGTAGCCAGAGGAGTACCGCCAATAATTCCGAAACAGTCGACGCAACTCAAGACCGAAGGATATCTCCTGAAGAACTGGAGTAGGACGTATGCTGTATACATGACCGTGATGCCTACCAGAACTTGTGTTAGCAAATAGATTATAGTGTCCGTTCTTCTAGTGTCTAACCTACCTAGCCCGATAATATAGATAATTCCTGGGATCAACCCGAGAGTTTGCAGTGCCGCAGGTAAACCCAATATACCTATGCCTACCTGATTCGTGATGTAGATCAGCGACGCCTGCCATTTGTTGAGCTTCCTGTCTGGACTAGCCTGTTCTCCAACATCGAGGATGTCACTTCGTTCATCCTCGTTGCTGCTCTCGTCCGCCTTCTCGCTATCATGCGGTGGTAAAGTGGCGGTCTCGGGTATTCCAGTATGTGCCATGTCACAACTGTCCTCCTGATCGCAGTGTCCGGTTCCGATCGTCTCGCATTGGCCTCGCATAGTTGACCCTAACATTGAAATCCTGTCGCCCTTTTCGTAGAACGAATGGGTAGATGTAATGAAGAAGCGGAGGAAAAGTTGGTGGGCGATGAAAGCAAACCATGATGGTTACAGTATCATGGCAAGTGCCGTTCATGAGCACGTCCCGACGCAGGGCAGATACGGAACCAGAAAAAAAGTGTATTCAACGAGAGAAATTTGTCTGTTGTCACGGACGTTACCCCAAAGTCCGGTGTTGCATTTGCCAGGTGCGTCAGATTGTTGATCGACAGCGGACGCGAACTCGTAACATATCTCTGTATACGATGCCTTTAAATGACAGATACCGATCATTACATGTAGCTGAGAGATCTTCTAGTCTTTTTGGAGGTTGATGTTGATGTAATAATGGGGATGGGTGGTAGGGTCCCGAGGTCGGTTCGGGCTATCTTGCAGGGTTCGGTGACGTCACGCCAGTCGCGGAATGGGGAAGCCGACGCAACACCATCAATTCAGTGCACTTCATTCAATCTCAGCAGTAGTACACACTTGTATAAATCTATTCGTAATGATATCAAGGTTCAGTCGCCTTGCTTTTCGCGTTCAGATCGTCAGAAATTCGCACACCTGGGCAGCCTCCGTGTCAAACTGTAGCCAAAGGCTCGCCTTCCCTCTCTGCCATACACACTTGTGGTTGTCGCATAGGTCGGGGGGACCACGGCTGTATGTATCTCTCTTCACACCCAGTGAGTAGATTGTTGAATCGGGCTGACAGCGTCAGATTGGGTTATAAGTTCTGGAGGTACGACGGAAATTGGCTGATGTTCCACAGCCTCATTACCAGAGCTGTCGGATATGCGGGCGACCTCCTCAGCGCCGGTCGTCTCTTCCGATATCGAGTGCGTGTTATCACTGATGTGAGCAGTCGACATCTTCGCCCCGTCCGCCAAACATGGACGGCCAGTTTGGTTGTCGCGAAGTGACCACGCCATGCCTCCGGTAACGGTATGCTGAACTCCAACAAGAACCAGCGGCAGTCCATCCTTGTCATTTTCTTGGAACAACTCCTTGTCAGACTTGACGATGCGGTTCTCGGAGTTCCTCTCGAAGAGAGCAGCCGCTAAGCCTGGGACACCAAGCCGCGTCCTGACTTGGTAAATGTCTTGGTCGGCTGTCCTCCAGGCCATGATGGCAAGTCCAATTCCGAGAGCCGCGAAGAACAGGTTCGCTAGAACCAGCAGCCAGACAGCAGCGACAGGCGCTCTAGTCATAATCTTTTTGGCTCTTGTCTGCACTAGAATACTGTCTGCCGGCACTGTGTGCACCACTAAAGGAAGGGCGAACATGGTGCTCATCCCAAGCTCTAAGGCTGAGATCCACTGTTCCAAAGATGTTGGAGGATTGGCTTGTCGCATAACGCTGTATTTTAATTCCGCCATTTGTCCTGTGCTGTCGATAGAGGGGAGAATTGAGATACCCGCCACAGTAGAGTTACTCTCATGGGCATCCAACTTTTTGATTGTACCACCAGTAGCACTATATGTGACATTGTAGACTGGAAAGACCTATTAGATGAAGAACAACGACCGTAAAGCGCTCTTCGGTAGCGGTTACTCACCTGTTGTGTTGCATGCAACAACCATCACGGAATGCGCATACGCGGGGTCCATCAGCCAGGCTTTGCCAATCATGTCTCTTGGTAAGTCGTCCAAACGGACGTCTAAATCCAGAGCAACGGCTGCGGTCCATCTCCACGTGCTTGGGAACATCTGAGCACTCTCCTGTTTTGTTATGTTTGGTATAATGGATTCCTCCTCGTTTTTAGGGGTAAAATCGAGCCCTCCCATTCTACTAAATGTCCCGCGTTCGTTTAAGTGCTTGTGGAAATCATAAAAGATGTATGAGAATGCGAATCCGATGTAGCTCCCTGAGTAATCGATCGGCGAGCCGCGAGCGATGGAGCAGTCGAAGGGCATTATTATCTTTCCAAGGTCATTAGTTACGTTCGAGTTCACCTGCATATCGCAGGCGGTAGCAGGTATAGGCGCACACTGGGACGAAATGGCGTACGATGTCGCCTGCCAGTCTGTTTCGGAGGGCGATATCGTTGGACCAACAACCGCGTATTGGCTTCCAGTCTCCTCAGTAAAGTTCATGATGCCTTTCCCATAGCCTTCGTCTACCATTGCGAGAAATTCGGTGTTATTTGTAAGTCTCAACCTAGACTCGTTGTCGTCTATGTGTGTCGTCATACCGCAACCCCAGAAGTTTTTGTTCTGCATGGTACCCACGGTTTCGCTATCACCAAAGCACCATGGATCAATGCTCCTGCCGTACTGATGCTGAGTAGGATCTTGAGGGAAGACCTGAACTAACTCTATTGCTTCGGTCGCTATATGGAGATAGCCGTCTGCCGCATGCACAAGAACACTGGGAATATTAGCACGGCCTTGAGTCTAATGAATCACATGCGTACCTCGCGAGCACAGCTAGACATAGAACGAATATTGATGCTCGTAGTACCGTTGGTTTCGTAGCTCGCCCGGGTGATTTGCTTTTCGTGCCGCGCCGAAAGGACCACCGTCGCCATGGCCGGGATAGTTCCCACAGAGACAGGTAATCCGCATTCAGGAGTCGGACTACAAGGCTGGTCTCATAAGATGTAGGAAGACATCTGCTCTGGTCCTGCGACACGGAAGCTTCCGTAAGCCGGCGCGCAGCGCAATAGGCGTAAATCGACATAAGGGCGCTCACGAGAGCGAAGCTAACGGTGGATGACCAAGAAGATACGAAAACGAGGCGAGTAGCCGGAAAATCGACGTAGTAGTGAGACGCCTTGGTGACATTGATAAGCGGAGACTGTGGGCATATCTCGCTATAGGGACAGTCTAGATCACTTGCTAGATTGTGAAAGACTAGCACAAGGATCACGACGGTGAACGTGATCATCGGAACGACAACGATGGAAGAAGCCAACAGGATGTGTTTCGTATGGGGTTGTAAAGTGAATGGAGGCATGTTGATGAGGGTAAATGTTCAGGCAAGATGACTTCGAGTGGCTTTGGTCTCTCCAAAGAACAAGAGGGTTCTACTGTTTTTATGAGCGAAAGACATGGAGTAGTGTAGCTTGAGAGAACAGCTCTGTAGCGCTGTATTGGGGAAGGAATAAGCCCCGATGCGGTACGCTTCGACTTCACCTTGCCAAGCTTGACTTGATCGACACCTGGGCACAATTCATGTGAGGCCAACCGACCGCACCCACAGAAGTCTAGTCATGCAAGGTCTTTGACCAATGAGGCGCAGAGCCTTCCATATCTTCAGGTTGGACGTCGTGCAAATGTTAACACGCAGGGGCTGCGCGCTTCGTTATCGAGCAACAAGCTTGGACTCGGGGATGTGCGAGTGGCGCAGCCCATTTTCCATGTAGGTACATTTTAGCCATATTAAGGCAGCCCTGAAGACCCTTTTCCTGGGAAAGTTGGCCAGTACATTTTCGGCCTCAAGATGAAGGAGATGAAGGCGGTAGCCAGTAGGGACCTTGGAAGGTGCTGAGGCGCAGATTAGAATTGGGCTGTGTCTTCAAGACTGCACTGATGTTTGTCGGCCCCCCACAACTCTGCGATGCCGTGAAACGAGACTGTCGCTCCTGGGAGATAATATTTTGAAAGGTCTGCCTATGAGTGAGAACGCACGTCCAGGGGTTTTGGGGGCCGCTTCTCCCCCGAGCAATATCGCGACAGTCAGCATGAGGGTCGGGGGTCGAGATCGAATGACAAGCAGAACAAGTAGAGTGCGCCCTTGACTCAGACTACTGTCTGGTACTGGTTCGGGCTGGTCATTGGATTGTGCTTTGGTATACGGTATGATTGCGATGGCTTTGATGTTGTTCGCTGGTGTCTGGTGACGTCATACCCGTTGCGGTTACGGAATGAGGAAGCCGTCGCAACATCATCGATCTCTTGCACTTTCCTCTCGTTTTTAACGGCACTAAACACCTAAACTCATGATTCTGATCGTGTAACTATCAAGGTGTGACTTGCTCACGACTGAATCCGAGCGTCACGACATGCGTTCAGGAGAAGAGACATCGGGTTCAGTGTCAAGAAGCCTACACGAACAAAACCGACTTTTCGCATTGATCGTATCGAGATAGTCGTCGTACCGGAATACCTCCAAACGACTGGACTTTCGTGCCAGATTTGTACCACTCGTCATGTAGATTACGAAAGCCACGGATACACCGCCTGCCAATCGACGCAACCGTTATCCAAGTACCAAAACCCGAGACAGCGCACTAACCCCAATACAATCTCAACTACAAATGAGGCGTCAGCAATCATTTCTCTACGCTCAAACCGCCGATACCATGATTTCATACCAATCCAATGGCGTACCTCCACTGCCTAGGCATTGCAGGTACACCGGCAAGTCTCCCAACCCCACACACATCCTCCGCGATCTTGATACCAACCGACCGAACGAGGGCAGCATCGCTTACCCCCTGCAGCGTTTAAGCAGCGATTCAGACAGTCCCTTCCCCAATTGCGCTCACAGCCTCCGCCCTCCCAGCTGATGCGTCGGCCAGGGCAAGCCTGAGCAGTGGTAGCATCAGAGGGGGGTTCGGCGGGGATTGCGAGAGTCGCGGCCGAGACCGTGAGAAAGGTAGTGAGGAATGGGAGGAGATGCATCTTTGGGAAGTGTTCAAGTTGATGTTGGGAAGAACAGTAGCGACGATTCGAAGCATGCAGGTGCTGCATTATGGATTTATATAGGAGTCCCGCATCGGCAACAGACGAAGATACTAAGACTTTGGCTTGATCATGAGATGGATGCCAAGCAGCTTGTTACTCTCATGGTGGTATCTCACTTCGTAAATCTTACGGTGTGGAAACACAGGATGTCACTCTCTCGACAGATCAATGGCTCTGAAAAGCGGGGTTGGAAGCCATATATGGTCTTCTGCAACAAGTGTTACCTACTAAGTGGCTACGGGCGCTGCAGTAATACTTATATGCTCGACATAACCAATGAGCTATTGTAGCGTCATGACCAACCGGAGCTTCTGCATTTGCTGAGGTACGTCCCTCACTTCAAATCCATTCGCGCTTCTTCCTCAAGTGACGCCATGAAGACATCAACCCGATGAAAAAGATGTGGAGGACAAGTGGTATAGACACACTGTTCAACAGCAGATATGGGGCTTGCATCGTGGACGGCCGTAAGCTATCCGCACAATGTTTCCGCCAGCGGCACGGGGGAGACCTCCGCGAGCTCCGCTTTCCCCAAGACTGACAACGACAGGAGCGCTCCGGGGCGCAACGTCGCATTCATAGCACAGGCAGACCAGCCCGCCTGTGCCAACGAAGGTTTTAGGTCTTCGACGAGCGGGAACTTGCTGTTGACAGGCACGAGTGACCACCGACATACCTGTTGTCTAAGTGGTGTCGTATAGCAGCCGCTTGAACACGCGAGGTCCGGTCTTTTGTGTTCAAGGAGCGTACTCATCCAAGTATTGAGAGTAAGACCTGGTGAAGCGTCTAAACTCTTCATATACTGCATTGTTGTGCTGGCCCAAGCAATGCCACCGGGAGATACGCAGGCAGGTAGCAATGCTGCTGCCGCGATGCTTCCAGGTGTGAACGGTGTCGTAGTCCATTCTTGCATGAAGCGAGAATTTCCAAGAGAAGCCTGCGAGGTCATCGCTGTAGTTGGGGAATGAACGTACATAGATCAATAGCGACGTACGTCGCGTATGAGGCTGACGCGGTCGGCCAGCGGCGCAAGCGGGCGTTGCGAGATTTTTGAGTAGCCTGTCGCTCTGTGATGGTGTAAGAAGCAACATTGGTGTAGTTCGTAAGTGAGGGCACCTGGGGAGCGCACGAATATATAGTTCGCGCGGAAGGCGCTAGTAGGCGCGCTTGCCGATTGTGGATTGCTCGCTAGTAGCAGGTGAAGGTGAGTGCGCACTTATGACGTCCCTCGTAGTCTAGTCAACTCATATTCACTTGGAATTGATACCAATCTTACCTAGTCAGGCTGTAGGCAGCGATTGAGCGGGGTATCTCATCAGACTAACCGATACTTGATTCCTAAATGAAGATGGAATGGCCCTCCCAACGAGCTCTGACCAGCTGTCTACAACCAATGAGCGCCATACGTTCAGACTGTGGTCGTCAGGTAATTGAATCCCCTCTCACACACTCTAATCACCGCCCAAAGCACTCTATCACCTGTGAGACTTCCAAGGTTCGCCTCCGGCTCGACTATGGCACCAGTGGTACCCGACCCGCCTTCCGGCGCCCTCTTGCCCTTATACGCTGGCAGCTACGAACACAAGCCCTCGAGTGTTCGCGTCAAGATCAGTGTTGTGAACAGTAAGCTCCAGATCGAGGATCTCGATCTTCAAGACCAAAAGTATGGGATTAAACTCCACGAACGAACCGCAACAAATGGTTACCCAATCGAATTCATACCTACAGGCACTGTCACACCAGCCGCCCCCCGAGACCGTTCGAGGAGAACATTGAGCCAAGAGCCCGCCGGCCGGCACATCAGCTTCTTCCTCAAAGGCAACACCGTTGGCAGGTTGATCTGGAAGAAGGATGGGATCGAATTCGGAATGCAATTCCAAAGGATGAGCACGCTCCTCAGCCTGCCAGAAGAACTCCGCAGTCGAATTTTCGGATTGGCGTTGACGGACGATGGTGGTGAGATACATATGCGAGAGGAGCAGGGTCACCTCCGCCTAGCCATCTGCAATAGTGTACCATACGCAGACGCGCGAAACGGCTTTGCTAACTACGGGGATGTGCGAAGTCTTCCAAAGGCCTTCAATGCCTTACAGTACACCTCCAGGGAGCTGTTCACGCTCACGCGCGGCCTGGAGTTGCGCTTGAACGACCTCAAACTCAACGGGTGGACTTTCGACACCTTCCGACGCCTCGAACATCTTCGTCCCACTCCTCCATGGTTCTGGACCGGACCAGACTGGTTCGACAATGTGCGCAACGTTACCCTCGTCGGCGACTTCAAGGTCGGCAAGACTGCGGACGAGAACATCCTTCATGGTATCTTAAACTTCGGTCGCGCTCACCCTAAGGCTAACATCTTCGTTGGTATCGAGTCGCTTCGACTGAAAGGCAAGACGCTGCCCGCCTTCGTCATGTTGGTGTGGCTAATTCGAGAAGCTGTTCGAGGCATTGTGAAGACGGGCTGGAAAGCACAGGGGGACAAGAAGAGCATCTCCAAGTGGCGCTGGGGGAAATCAGTGGATTGGATGAACGTACAAAACGTACGCTTCATACCCTCTGATGACTATGACGAGGCTGAGCTGAGGAAGCGGACCTCGAAGTACAAGAAGAACAAGAAGACTAAGAAGAATAAGAAGGCTTCAGGACAGGCGAACGCACCGAAGGAAGAGGGCGTGGTCGGGATGTTGGTGCAAGAACTTGGAGGCGTTGACGAATTCTTGGAGTACGTCAAGAACATCTACAAAGGCTTCTAATATGGGAGGACGAAGAAAAGGCTTCTGGTGATGACCTTCTGCTGAGGTTCCCATATAGCCCTCACGGTCTGTTTTGTTTGAACGCGCTCACGGGTTACATGAACGTCGCTTAGTCGATATGATGGGAGAATGAGGTTGATCGTGTTCTGACGCGCTTGCATAGCCCTTGCGGTGCTTTGTACAAACGCATTTACGGTTCACATGCATCTCTATTAGTAGACATGGTGATAGACTGAGTCTGTCCAACACCACTTGGAAGCCAGAGATAGAGGGAAAGTCTTCTAGAAGTGACCAGGAACGGAAAGTTGCGCCATGAATACAGAAATGATACCTACTTGAATGATGATCTACAAATCGACCGGGTAACGTTCCCTAAGTCTCTCACCAAAGATAAAGAACAAGATCGGAGCAGGCGCAAGCAGCAAGCTCACAAACGCAAACGTACTGATACCCCAACCATACCCCAGCTTCTCGAACAGCATGGGCGCAAAGATCGGGATAACACCTCCCACGACACTACGGAACACAGTACCAGCAGCGATGGCACTAGCCGCGTACTTCTCAAAGCTGTCGATGAAGTAGTTCTGCGTGCTGTTCAAGATCATGACTTGTCCGATGCCGTAGAAGAAGGTCGCGGAGATGGATGCAAACCAGTGCGTGTGCTTCTGTACTGCCCAGGCGAACCAAAAGAGCGACATGGGGATGAAGACTGAGCCGATGTTTGCCAGTGGGAGGCGGAACTCAGGTCGCGCCTTCTCGTGATTCTTCGCTGTGAGCGTCTTGTACACGGTGTCGATTCGTGGGACGAGGAACCAGACTGCGAAGAGGAACCCAGATCCAGGACCGAGGTATAACAATCCGACCTGCTCAGTGGAGAAACCGTAGCCGTCATGGTATATGGGCTGCATATTCGTGTAGATGCTGTATGTTGTGCCGAAGATGAGCGCCTGGTACACAGCCATGACCGCGACGATGGGTTGCGCAAAGATCTTCGGAGGGCGCTTGAGAGCCTGCGTGAGCTTCTCGTTCAACGGCCGTGTATCTTCGCCCTCGTACGAGTACTTCGTGCCATCCCACTCGTTGCTCTGAGACTCGAATTCCGCCTTCTTCGCATTCAGGATGACAGGCGCGTACGTTTCCCGGAGGAAGAAGTATCCAGCCAAAGTGTTGACGAAGCAGACGATAGTCATTATCCAGAAGACCCAGCGCCAGTTCAATCGCTGTACGATGATACCGCCGAATAACGGTCCCAGGGTAGGTCCAAGCAACGGGCCCAACAGGTACCAGCCAAAAACTCCAGCTCTTTCGCTTGGTAAGAACATGTCGCTGATCGTGCCGCCACCATTCGCTATGCCAACGCTACCAAAGAAGCCAGCAATGCTCCGTACCGTTATGAGGAACGCGATGTTCGGCGCGAGCGCGGCGGGGATTTGTAGCAGGGTGAAGATGGAGAAGCACACGAGGTATATCTTCCTCCGTCCAAACGTCTCGGACAGCGGCGCGAGGATCAAGGGACCGATTCCGAGCATGACTACGAAGCCAGTTGTTGTTCCAATAACGGCCGTTGTGCTGCATTTGAGGTCTTCGGCGATCTGCGCAATGCCGGGCGTGAACATGGAGGACACGAGGGGGCTGAGGACTGCCACAAGTGTTAGTATACATCATGTAAAGGCGACGGGAGTGTATGTACTGGACATGAGGGCTATGACAGCCACGTTGGCCATCTTGCGCCATCGCGCCCATTCTCGCGGGTTTTCGTCATTCGAAAGGTCTTGGATGCGAAGATGCTGTCACGAGTTAGCAGACGCAAAGAAAACGCGTGCGCAAGATAACTTACAGTCCGCGGCTCGCCTTCCTCACTCCATCTTTGTTGCAGCAACGGTGCGCGCTCGCCCTGTGAAGACATGATCACCGGGGTACGAGGGATGGGTTGTGATCGTGTATCAAAGAGGAAGCGCACCCAAAGAATTTTGAGGGTCGCGTCCCAGCCTTCAGCATGACAGTGGGCGTCATCGTAAATAAGCAGCCGTTACCTTTAACCGTGTTTGGGCGCGTTGTGGACATCTGAGCTTTGGAGCGTCATCGATCGCCGCCGCGGAGGGCTCGATCGATTAAACCCATGTTTCGGCTACCTGCAGCCATGGCCAATGAGGTCAATTCACCACAACGACATCTTGCGAAGCTGGACTTTAGAGCTATGGATAGATTGTGGTTTGCTTTGGTATTTCCATTATAAATGAAAGTGTTGAAAGGATTCATTGTATTGTATTGATTATATTTGCACGCATATTAGATGTTTCCGTCCACCATCCTCCAACTTTGCAATAAAGTTCGTTCAAGCCACTTCAAAAGCATCCATATCCCCTGTCGGCAGGTCAGGTACACCCACTGCGCATCTCGCTGCATCAATCATCACCTCTACAACCTCAGGTGGATAGCTCCTCTTGAGCACGACTCTGACAAACTCACTCAAGAGGTTCAGTCCCATATCACCAATCTGCTCATCCGTCAACATCTCGTACTCGCTTTCCTTCAGATCCATTCTCGCCAACCGTCGTTGGAGTAAGATGTTGTAGACCATGGTTATGCGATCCGTGTTCTTCTTGTTGGAACGACTGTGGAAGTGTGAACTGCGCACAGCTTCGGATTCGCGTGTCATGTCTACCCAGGCTATCTGTCCTTGCAGTATTTGCGCTGCTTCGTTAGTGGGAAAGATGTCGAAGTGATGGCGAAGGACGTGCAAAGCGATCAGGGAGCCAGCCAGATCTTGAGTGTAGCTGAAGCAATGCATGATGAGTGATGTGATTGCTCCACTATCTGCGCCTGCGAGGCCCATACGAAAGCGGTCGGCGTCGTAGCGGCTGCGACTGAGCGTCCACCAGCTGATCATCTCTGCTAGTAACTCACGAGGGGTGGGTAACCCTGGATTTTCGCGATTTATAGGGTCGCCAAGCGCGAGACGGAGCGTTTTCCAGAGACAACGTATGCTTGCACCATTAGGAAAGACACCTGCGTCGCCTTCTTGCGGTTCAGTCAGAGTCTTGTAGATTTTCCATGCTTCGCTGTAGGCACCTTGGCGGCATTTGTTGTCCATGAGAACGTTCATGATGGTTGCATTGGGCTCAAGTGTCGTTTCTTTGAGCTGACGGGACAGATAATCGACGTGTTCCCATTGCAGACTCTTAGCGTGGTGCTGCATGATGAGCGCGAATGTTGTAACGTTTGCAGGAGGAGCACGTTGGACGATATCGGTACTTTTGTTATGAGTATCCGCGGTTCTCTTGTCAATGATGCGCGCCGCTGTGTCTCGAGGAAGATCACGTTGTTGCGGTAGTGTACGAGCTGCTTCGATCATGCGCCAACCAATGTCTTCGGCTTTCAGGACGTTCGGACTCTCTTTAGTCCGTATCAACGCTTTGAGGAACATGTTGAAGTGAAATGTTTGCGGTTTGTAGCCTCGCTTGAGCATCATCTCCATGACCTGAGCGGCCACCAACGGCGCCTTCCTAACCACAGCCGCTTTCATCCAGTCACCGAATAAATGGCCGTGATAAGCAGGCGGTAGCACGGATATAGCATCGAAAGCGATACTAGTCATTGCCGCTATATCAGTTCCGAGTCGATACAGCATTTGCAGTCTCTTCAGAACTTGTTCAACTCGTTCTCCGGTGCCGCTAGTTGCCAGATAGCCCTCCCTGACCATGTCCCGGAACACCTGTTTGGCGTAGCCCAGATTTCGGGATTCCAAGAATCCCACAAGCCAAGCGTCGTAGTCCTTGATCGAGCGCGCATCGCCCTTCTTCTCCTTCATTGAGACATAGATCTGTTTTGCCAGATCATGGTGCTCTTGAAGTTCGGAACTCGTGTGAGCACGGAAGACGGCCATCATGACGGAAGTGTCCCAACTCGGGTATAACTTGAATAGCTCTTCCATGATGCTTCGGCTGTAGTCTAGATTCCCCGCAAGCGCATGGAGCTTAGCCCCGACCTCGAGATGCTCTGGCTTGTAATCCTGTCGTATGCCGTCGAATCCCAAAGTGTGATCCTCTTCCCATTCTCTAAGAGCTTGGTCTTCTCTACCAGAGAGAAAGGTGCTCTCTAGATCTCTGGCCCGCTGTCCGGCCGTTGTAGTCCTTCCAGCCTTGTCCATGTCACGGTAGAGTTGTGCAATGTGTGCCGTGCGATTCGCGTTGGTGGATGAGTCGATGGATTGCGTAATCCAGAGCAGGTCCCAGGCTCTTTCTGGAAGACGTGCTAAGAGTGTCGGGTCAGAGGCCTTGGCCAAAGAGTACGCCCGCCAGAGGGGCGCGCGTAGACTGGCGTCGCGGCCATTGGTGCTGTTGACCAACTCCAGTACTCGGTCCAGTCTCTTGATAGCTAGACGCTTTCCAGGAGCACTGAGCCCAGGCGTGACAATGGATATGTGTGCATCCCTGAGCTGCTCGCGCTCCAAACTTCGGTCGGGGTCATAGACAGGGTTTTCAGCCGTCTTCGTTGACTCAATCACCGCCGTAGCGGGTCGCGTAGATTTGTGTAGAGTGGGATCCCATCGCGGGACATATGTCGGTATTACTCGAGGGAGCGTTCGTAGAGCGCGCGCTTGAAACGGAGTGGAGTGTGGAAGGCATCGCAGTCGATGGAGCGCAAGCATGAGCAAGCGCTTTCTGCAGGTAGCAAGAGCAAGAGGCGGTAACAAATTTACCGCATCTAAGTGGTATGTTTGCAGGATTCCAAAGGTCGAAGAATTACGAAATAGCAGCCAGCCATGACTTGCTATGTTACGTGCATGTCTCGTCCGCCGAAAGGTTCAGATGACGCTAGCGTTATCGATAACAGTGACGGCCGGGATCTGTGGTAACTTTGCAGACACCCGTGGACAGTAATCGACGGGCTTCCAGAAGTTACCTGATTGGGAAAACGCCAAGCAGCGCACAACACCAACGTCGTGTATGTGGGCATTGCATTCTCCGTCTACCAAATTCCTCGAGTCTGTTGTCTCA